ATCAGTCCTTTTGGCAATTTATAAACAAATTAATTTTTAAAAGGAGAAATAAGTTATTTAATAAAAGCAGTTTGATTAGTAAAAATATTTCAAAACAAAATCTCAGTGAGAGTGAATTAGTAAAATAAGTTCTTGATGCATAAACTATGTTCAACAGTTCTCCAGGTGAGTTAATTAGCTTGCTCCAATCTGATTAGCAGGATGATAGCAGAATCAGGATTAGAATCCAGAGCTATTGGTCCGCACTCGGCCTACCATAAACTGTGTTATCTAAAACAGATCAAATTTCTTTATGTGCTTAATCGTTATGAAATAATGTTATCAAAGATTTAGAAATCAAACATCAGTGGCTTTAAATACAATTTACCTCTATAGTTATTCTTTCTTTTATTCATGTTTAACATGTGGAAACTTAATTAAACATTGTTTTTTCACATGCAGATGAGACTCTATCGGGGAGAATTTGGGAGTGTAGGAAATTTGGGGGAGTTGCATCTACCTTTGAGAATCTGGTGACAGCTGTGGACCCTGGAGAAATATTTGTATGCCCAGACCCAGGCAATTTGACATGCAGCATCAGGCGATTCGCAGACCCCAGGTTAAGGACCCTGGTTTAGGGAGTCGGCTGCTGTTCTCTTTGTCCCTTCCGTGGTTTCAGATGTTTTCTTTAGGGCTTTCACACTTGCTTCTGATTAGATCAGAATTAAGCAGCCCATAATGTCTCATCATTTAAAATGCCCCAAAACATACTTTTCACATTGTCTATAGAAAGTGATTATTTTATTTACAACTAAGGCATTTTCATTTCTTAAAATATGGAAAATGAAAAAAACTACTATAGAGGAAAATTGTTCACAGGAACAAAAATCTAAATTACTGTGCTTTGATGAAGCCGTAAGTGGAGCTATTGTAGAATGTGCATTTTTATCCAAAATGAAAATGGAACTGTAAAAACTGAGACAATTTTGATGCTCTGAAAAAAAGTATACAAAAATAATATGCATTTATGTTTTCTCAAGAGGATATATCAAAAGGAGTAGTCAACTTTAGTTGTCTGAGTGGATTTGGAGGCTTGTTAGTATAGAGAGCCAAATGGTGAGTAGTCTTCCAGATTGTTCTTGACTTTGGAACATCAGCAGGAGTGGTGCAAGCAAGGAGGGTGAAGGTGGACATTCACTTGGCCCCTTTTTTTTTTTTTTTTTTTGCTGAGGAAGATTCACCCTGAGCTAACATCTCTGCCAATCTTCCTCTATTTTGTATGTGAGTCACCACCAGAGCATGGCCACTGACAAGTGGTGTAGGTCTGCGCCTGGGAACCAAACCTGGGCCGCCGAAGCAGTGTGTGCCAAACTTAACCACTGGGCCATGGGGCTGGCTCCTCACTTGGCTTTTTTGAGGCATTCTCTCCCATCCCACCCCCACACTTTCTCTTCTTTACCTGTGAAAATATGTCGATTATTAGGAAAGTAAGCACAATGTATTTAAGTGGCAAATGAAGATGTTTAATAAAAGCAGGGCCTCAAAATCCTCAAAGAGCAGTTTGAGCAGTGAGCTGTTTTACCTTATTTTATCATCTTCATTAATGATTTGAATGCTAGTGCTTCGAAGAGACTCTAACAGAGGCAGTAGTATTCTGTTGATCTTGACTATATTAATCAGGTGCCTCACATAACTTTTGAACTGTGAGTCTCAAGTGTACAGCTCCAAGAGGACCCCAGCTTTACATGGCCCTTCTAACAGCAATGAAAATGCCCCCCTTGCATTTTGTCGCTCTTTTCCTCCATAGCTCTCCTGATTCAGTGGGAGACTGATTGAAGAGTTAGATTTGAGGCCCTGGAGCATGGGAAGACAATTTTTCCTTGTATATCTTGCCCATTATTTTGCTAGTGAGTGGGGGTTTTTTCTACTTTCCAGTCTGTCTGATCAATTTTGGATTCTTCATGAGGCTTCTAGTGTTCTTGACTTCAAGTTGGAAAAATAACTCTTTAGAGATACCATATCGTATACATTCAGGTGACTTCAGTAATTAGGGTAATATTTGCATCCTTGGTGTCCAGATGAATCATAGACTAAGTGCCTCTCTCCCATTTTAAATGGTGAATTATTTCAGAAAGCCACTGGCGGCCTAGCCCCTTTGTCACCTATACTAATGAAATTGACACTCCCTGGCTGCCTAGTGAGCCTGGAAGCAGAGCCTACCTCTTCTGCTTTGGAATTCTTACTTAATTTTCAGTGTTTGTAAAAATCTCAAAATTAAATCAGCTTTTTCTGATTTTGAACTGTAGTTACTAGGCTATTCCATCTCTTCTCTTAGCACCTGAGAGACACTACTTTCAATTAAACTCATTCAAGTTTCAACTCTTTTAGCCCAGGTGTTCCTGCCATCATTACATTAGTTTCCCTAGAAGCTGTCCAGGCTGTTGATAATAGCCTGAATGTGTCACAACCAACTGCCACTGATCACCTTGTCTTCTTCAATAGCAGCACTCTTTGGCTTCATTGACTGAGCCTCTCTCAGTCTAGTCACTCTGTTTTTCAAAGCAACCAGTCATTGTGAGTGCTTTCTTAAATGTTCAATCGAAGAGACTGTGTATTCAAAGAACTTTAAAAAAAATCAAGTATTACACAAGCAAGTTCATATGTAACTATTGTTGAATATAACTATTACCCTCAATAGGTAAAGAATGAAGACACTTAGAAAAGGGAGGACAACGGTTAATGGGCCTACTTTTCCCTTTAACTGCAGCCATGAAAAAATATAATCCTCATTAAAGGGTTGTAAAGTTGTCTGCTTTAGTAGTTCAGCACACTAATGTCTCCTTGCTTTTAGTGCTGTTTTAGCCTGTTGACCCTCTGTTCCTGCAGCTGGGAGTTTATTAGTCTTTGTGGCCTTTGGAGATGAATATTCATAATGAGATAGCAGTGATACTCCAGGTCCCTTTAAGGGCCCTTAGGGAATTACTCTTAGCAATGAGGAAGGCTGAGAAAAAGGCCAAATCATGCCAGCATCCCGTCATCCCATACCGAGTCATGGAGTGTGAGGGCTGTACTCAAAGGATCTGTCCAGTTTATCTCACAAGTAAACTAAGGCCCAGGGTCACACAGTTATCAGTAGGACAACCACGTTGGAATCCAGGTCTTCCCATTCCCAGGCCATATTCTTTCTACGACAGCATGCTTGTCTCCACATTAATTTGCAGTTTTCCTTCCTGAGGTTCTAACCCATTGAAAGTGTGAAATGACAAATATCTAATTAGAGGGGCTGGCCCCGTGGCCGAGTGGTTAAGTTTGCGCACTCCGCTGCAGGCGGCCCAGTGTTTCCTTGGTTCGAATCCTGGGTGCGGACATGGCACTGCTCGTCAGACCACGCTGAGGCAGCGTCCCACATGCCACAACTAGAAGAACCCACAACGAAGAATACACAACTATGTACCGGGGGGCTTTGGGGAGAAAAAGGAAAAAAAAAAAAAAATCTTTAAAAAAAAACAAAATCTAATTAGAGTTTGACCATAATGATGAGATATATGTGACAAAGCTACTCAAGGAGGGTAGAGAAGTAGAAAAGGATCTCTGTCAACTCAACCATGTAAGTTCTTAGAAGTAAACTCTCATTATATTTTGGGGTATTAACTTCACCAACTATATCACAGTTTTTCCTTGTAAAAATTATCACCATGATTATTAACAACTTCTTTAAAACATCCTTAAGTTGATTCACAGAGAGGTTATGGAACACCTGGTAAGTGCTGATCATTATGGTAGAGTGGGGAATGTGGAAGACGTATGATGGTGCTTCCTTTTAAATTCTTTTTTCTTAATTGTATTGTAAGCATCATATGAAGATTTGTAATTATAAGGTAACGTCATTAAAATTCTTATGATTGCATTTTAATTTACTATAGGCACCCAGTCGTCTAGCCTTGAAAGTTTTAGGTTAATTTCTGCTTCACTTTCTCCAGAGGCAGCTTAGTTTAGTGAGTATTGTACTTGTTTCATTTCTAATGAGATTAGCTCAGATCAAAGAATAGTTTTACTTTCCCAAGGTGACGTCATTTGGATCCCAGACTGAGGTGGTATTTTTACTGGAATGCATACTAGTCAGACTTAAGGGGGAAAGAGCTCTAGTAGAAATATGGCCAGGGGGCCACCCCTCCTGATCAAAGCTGCCCGGAAAGGCTCCTAAACTGACGGAAGGGTAAACTAGATGGCTTTGCCTGTTACACGCATGGCACGGACATAATATTAGCCTAACAAGATTATTTTTAGAGATCTGTGTTTTTGGTTTTATTTGAAAGACACCTGACTTCATAGATGGGCTCCTTCCCTACTTATGTGCCCAGAAAGCTAATTATTCACTTGGAGGGTAATGAAAGACTCTGCCATCTGTCTGCAGATTTAATGGAGTGTCAGCACATCCCAAATAGGAAGTAATTGGATTGACAGACCCAAAGCCAGTTATTAGACTGTTATTATCTGATTGGAAAAAGCAGGCGGAGAAGCATACAACTATAGCAAAACTAATCTGATGATGTCTGTTGTTCCCGGAATGCACAGTCTGCCACACAGAATTCATAGGCTTTAACACCCCTGCCTGGCTTAGGAACGTTTGGAGTTCCTCCTGGAAGAATTCATCTCTGTATTCCTATTACAAATCATTATAATGCAATCTAATAAAACACAGTTTGCATAAAGATGGGGCCCATTTATAAAACTGTCACTGCAGCCACTCTATTAATAGAGCCATTTTAAAGATTTATTGTGAGCATATGTTACTTTTTACAGGGGGCCAGATTGAGAGCTGCAGGATTTGAACATGTAAGAATATGCTACTGGTGATAATTCAAAAAAAATTTAAGCTATTCTGCCCAAGTAATGTCATTAGACTGTTACTCTTTTCTTACTTTTCAGGTATGATCATCAAACAACAGTCTTAATGAGACATTAAAGAAAGATGACAAGATCTAGAGCAGTGTTGCATAAAGACTCTTTTCCTTTCACAGATTCCCATTTTGCTGCCTGACACCACTGGAGGTCAGGGGACACATGGGATGGGCTAAATATGAGAGTCTGGAAGCAGAACTGGGCTCTGGAGCTTTATTCTTCTCTGAACAACTGCCTAGGATGGATCTGATGGGGGAGAGGTAGTAAAGATATTGCTTCCGTTCATTCACTAATTGGTTCAGTGAGAATCATCACCTCCTGGAGTTTCTAGTCCTCGCAGTTCATGGAGAGAACTAGAAGGGAATCCAGTGAGTTTTCATTTATTGAACAGGTATCTCTAGAGTGCCTACAACGTGTAACACACTTTTCTAGGTTCTAGGTCCACAGCTATGACCTAAAGTCCCTGTCCTCACGGGGCTCACGTTCCAGTGAGGCGAATGGAAAATAAAAAAGTAAAGATATATATGTGGTATCCGATTATGATAAGTTCTACAAAGAAAAAGAGCCAATTAAAGGAGATAGAGAGTGATTGGGGAGCAATTTTAGATGTGAGGCCTTCCTTGAACATCTTCAAAAGATGACAGGTGTGCAGAGACCTGACTAAAGTGAGAGAGTGAGTTGTGTGACTGTCTGGAGGAAGAGTAGCCCAGGCAGCGGGACCAGCACTTTCAGAGGCCCAGAGGACAGTTTAAGTATTTTTGTCAATGTTGCCGCCAAGACACCAGGTGCTGCCTGCTTCCTTTGCCTGATAAAGATCCCCAATGTTTCTTGTTTGCAAGTTAGGAAAGACTGATAATGTGTATGAAAGGGTCTTGTAAACTCTAAACTATATATAGACACAAGATATTGTTAGTAAGGTCAAGTGGGCTCTAGAGATCTTCATTGTTGTAAGCGGAGTCATTAAAAGTTTCAAAGGAATTCCTCCTTAAAGAGACTCAGTGGTGACAGAATTTTTATGACACAAATACTCTATCATTTGGCAAATTTACAAATGAATGAACAAATGAATTACTTGTTAGAAGTATTACCTACCATATAATGAGTGCCACTATATTAAAGGCACTTTGTTGTACACATTAGGTGAATATAAGGCATTTGTACAATACCCACATCATTGCCAACCTCACAATAACCCTCCAGAGAAGGTATTATTCCCCCATTTTTAGGTTAGGAGCCTGGAGGTCAGGAAAGTCCTACAGTTTATTATCTGAGAGAGCTGAGATTTTAACCGAGGGCCTTCTGACCCCAAACCGTATTCTCTGCTGTACACCATGTTGTTCAGAAGATCATACCATGGAGTTCTTAATGAGTGGCACGTTGTGTTAAGAACCATGGGCAATACAGAAAAAAATAAAAGCACATTCTCTGTACTCAGAGAAGTGAAAACAGAGTTGGGAAGAGATGATTACATGAGAAACAACAGAAGACAGTGAAAGATGAGGTATAAACACATAATTGCATTCCTGGGACTATGAAAGCTCAGGAAGAGAGGGAGATTAATGTAGGCCGGAGATAAGAGGTCTGAAGCTGAGCTTTTAGAAGACAGGTAGAATTTAGGCAGGCCATATCATAGTGTTCCAATCATATATGGGTGTTAGAATCTACTCCTGTCCCTAGGGTGAAAAGCAGATATCATCATGATTACCTATGAAAATCACTTAGCAAGTTAGAGATGAACTACTCTCTCTCAACATGGCAAATACAGTGCAGCTAGATTTTCCTCCAGTTTTTTTTCCCCTCTTCGGCTAGGCTCCAAAAGAAGTATTCATCTTATGAATAACAGGAATTATATTGCATTAAAAATACATATTTTAAAATACTAGATTACCTAGTTACACTCAGAGTAGCTAGATGCTGACACCACGAAATGTAGCCAGGACCTGAGTCTGACAGAGGGACCTGGATTCACATCTCCCTGTCCTCTTACCCTGGGACATACTCTCATCAAATAGAATAGCAGGCCTAATGCCTTGCTGTGTTTATATTGCCCTTTCTCTCTCAGCCTGTGTATTGTTGATTTCCTATGTATAGCTTATATATTCCTATATATTGAACATGCATATGCTGGAGCTTCACTGAAATGAGGTGTGTTCTGAATGAGTGGAAAAACATAAGTGAAAAGTCCAGAGCAGGAATAATTTTGGATTCTTATGAAATAATAAGGAAATGAGCATGCTGCAGAGATGTGGGAAAGTAATGGAGCCAGATCACAGGAGGGCTTGAGAACCTGACAGGATTTCAGATTCATGTAATGGAAGTAGAAGCCATTGAAGGTTTTTGAGAAATGGAATATCACTGTGAAAGGGATCTTTAGTGTAGATGATTCTGGTGGTGAAACATAGGGTAGAGAGTGAAGTGGGAATGGAAAAGACCAGTCCAGAGACAGTTATAATAATCTAGGAGAAGAGGGTATAGACCAGAACCATAGGCCAGTCATAGAGAGTGGACTTGTTTGAAGATGATTTTGTTGCCTTTTCACCTTAATTGATCTCATTAAGGCAATTTCAAGGGAATAATACACATTCACAGAAGCAGGTTAAAGACCAAGAAATTAATGCATCAGCTGGCTATAGCTTTTTGGAATCTACTTTATCATCCATCCAATGTTCTTTCCTCTCTCTTTAAATTTATACTTACTGTCAAACACATTACTTCTCCAGATAACAATCCCAGTGTAGCACTGTAAGATGGTGACATTAAATTAGGTAATGAATATGAAAGTACCTTGAAAATTCTGAAGACAAATTTAAAATATTATAATTATTTCATTTTCATCCTTTTTGGGTTCTCTTAAAATATTCAGATTAGATAGGTAGATGTATGTATTGCTTGCACATTTGAAAATAAATACACCCTTCAGTGATCCAGTTTCTAATTATTCAGATTCCTTCTGCATTTTTCTGAGAATGCCTTCTCCTAGAGAATTAATTTACCAAAGAGGAAGGGAGTCTTCCTTCTCCCTATCAAGACTTAAAATTATCACTTTGCTTCTCTTTATGATGCTCTGAATGAATGAAAGATTCACAACTCTAAGAATAAAAGTTTTGCTGTTTCGGGGCGGGCCCCGTGGTTGAGTGGTTAAGTTCGCGCGCTCTGCTGCAGGCAGCCCAGTGTTTCGTTGGTTCGAATCCTGGGCACGGACATGGCACAGCTCATCAAACCACGCTGAGGCAGCGTCCCACATACCACAACTAGAAGGACCCACAACGAAGAATATACAACTATGTACCAGAGGGGCTTTGGGGAGAAAAAGGAAAAAATAAAATCTTTAAAAAAAAAAAAAAAGTTTTGCTGTTTTAATAACATCCCTTTTATTTTCCTTATAAAACAGTATTAAGTAATAGTCATATTATTAATCAATATTCCTGCACTGAATTTTCAGTTCTCTGATAGGTTTTGTTTCTTTTGCTTCAAAAGTTCAAGCAATCTTAGGAACAGTAGTCAAAGGGAAGTTCATTTATGGAAACATTTCATGGACATCCCCTGGTCAAGATTTTGGTGACCCAAGTAATTGACAGTGTTGACATCTAATTAAAACTTTTTTTCCCAGTGTGGTGACCTAACAGGCAGACATGCTGTATTCTCTAGTAAAATACTACAAAGTGTCAAGCACGTATAACTTCTTAAGTCAGAGAGCAAGATACAGAATTTTTAAATCATCTCGTGCTTTTGTTCCTTTCTAGTGTTATAACTTACATAAATTACCTTGGGGAATAGAATGAGTCAGCCTTGTGGTCAAAGTTGATCAACCCCATCTTTTTTTCAGATGAAAAAAATTGTTACATGACAGCTGACCAAGAGCCCCGACCTGCACAGCAGACGCGCACCAGATACTTGAGCATAGTGAGGGCAGGTGATGAAGGCATGGTGTGTGTGGCCAGGCGAATTAGAGCCTGAAGGGGGCTTTCTTTCCACTCCTTATTGCTTTCTTAACAAAACTGTTTATTTCTATGCTAATTTCCAAGGGGAGCAATGAGATGAGAGGCATGAACTGTTTGGAAATGATTTTCTTCTTGTTGGCTGTGAGCTAGACATTATTTACTAGCATCGCCTCATGCCTGTGTTCTCTTGTTGGTTGAGTATATTTGCTCTTTGTGAATAATCAATTGGCCTACTTGCCTCCCCCTGCACCACTGCATACCCATCTAATAAGAGGCACAGTGTGTCTTAGCAGCAACACTGTTTGTGATTTCTGAATACTTCCTAAAGGTAGAGACTCAGAACTATGAATTTATAAGAGCTTGCACAAATGAAGTTAGCTCTAATTGTCATGAGTAGAGAAGATACAAGCATAAAATGATCATAAACACTGGCCAAGAGCAAATGCATATATATTTTCTTCACATATGCTTAGCTAAACACAGCCCTAAGTTAGCTGGTTTATTACATCATGACCGTTTTCAAAGCTGGCTTAACGTACACGTTATGCGGGAGGTTTGCACTGAGCTTTTGCCCACACACCCTGCTAGGCCCCGAGGGGAATGCAGTGATAGAGCTGACTGATATCCTACCCTCCAAAAACCTAGAGTCATGTAGGGGGATAAGGTACAAAAACAAATGACAAAGTGATCTGTTCCATAAGTGCTGTTAGCCTGCTTAGAGTATAGTTCTTATGTTCTTTTCTCTCTCCAACAGTAGCTTTCATACTTGTTTTCACAGTAAAAATTGTGTTTTACACCAGGATCTAGTACATTCCTACATCATGTGTGTAAAAAAAACCCAAATAAATGAATAATATACACACACACACATATAAACTAAAGATTACACAAATCAGTATTTACCATTATTATATGTAATACACTGATATTTTCTATCCTATTCAGTCCACCCCACCCCATATCAGTCTCTCCCAATGATGATTGCAATCCTTTAGTTTTATTTCACAACCTCTAATAGGGTGTGAGTTGTGGTTTGGTTCAGCATTGCCTTAGCCTGAGCTCTCTTAAGAGCAGGTTCTATGTTTTATCCATTTTTCATTCTTATCATCTAGTGATGCTTGACATATAGTAGGCACACTAAATGTTTGGTGAGAGAGTGAATAAATGGGTAAGCAGATCTGCTCAGAACTAATTTTTGATCCAACCTGATGAATAGCACAGATATATTTCCTATGATCCTGACCGACAGAAATAAGAAAAGATTATCAGTGTCTCATTCTGTCACCTCTACTGAGGTGAATATAACAGGATAATGAATT